GTTGAAAAGATAGAAAAGATAGTGTTTATCCAATTTTAACTGCGAAACCTACAGCTCATACAACATCTGTGTTTTCTGGGAGCTGTGCTTGAGAACTCTGAGCTTATTCCCAAATCTCCAGAAGCAGAGACTTTTCTAGGCCTCCAGACTCTCTCAGCTAACAAATGCGGTCTCATCCTGGTCTAAGGCCTATGTCATGACTAAGAACACAATAAAGGACTGGACAGAATGCACTGTATTCAGACTTCTTCTAGGTGACTACAGTAGTGTCAACAATAGCTGGGCAGTTTGAGCATCTAGAACATAATACCATAGACTAGGCAGCTCAAACAACAAACATTAATTTCTCAGATTTCTGGAAGCTGGAAGTGTGAGACCAGGGTGGCAGCAGGTTCTGGTGAGAGCCCTCTTCTGGGCTGCGGACAGCTGACTTCTCCTTGTATCCTCGCATAGTAGAAAGAATGGAGAGAGATCTCTGGGGTCCCTTACATAAAGGGAATAGTCCTATTCATGTGGGCTGTTCACTCCCATGGCCCAATTACCTCTCAAAGGCCCATGTCCAGATACCACCCACTGGGGATTAGGATGTCAACATATGAATGTGTGGGGAGGTGACAAACATTCAGACCATTGCAAATAGACTTTCCTATGTAGTCACAGCCTAAAGAGGACAGGTTCCATTTTTACCCCCTCGGGGGAAGAGGTTCTTTACCAAATGTTGTAAACTATTGCTAGATTCTAAGCATGAACATTTTTTATTTTTAGCCAAACTCTAAATATCTAGTGTGTATTTAAAAGAAGTAAATGGATGGATGATGGAGGATAGATGATATGGGTAGATGGATGGATGGGTGGATGGATAGATGATGGATGGATGGATGAACATGCCTTATTAGCTATGAAAATTTAGGATAAAATTATAGTAATTAAGATAGTGTGGGCATTTGCACAGGAATAGAAAACTAGACCAGTGGAACAATATGTGGAGCCTAAAAATACACTTTGCAGATTGGAAGTTTTGAATGTGATAAATATTTCATTACAAATCAATGTTGAAATGATGAACTATATAATAAATGGTACCAGAACAATGTATATCTATACAGGCAAAGTACTGAATTCTGACCTTATATCATATAAACAATATAAATTCCAAGCAGATTAAGTGTGAAAGGCATAACTTTAAAAACTTTAGAAGAAACTATAGGACTATTTATAGGTCTTCATAACCCAAATATAGGAAATAATTTATTGAATAAAATGAAAAAGCACCTACCTTAAAGGAAAATACTAATATATTTTATTACATTAAAATTGGAAAATTTATATATGTCACTATAAACAAACTTAAAAAAATAAGCATCAAAGTAGGAAAAATATTTGCAACATACAAAGCTGCAAAAGGGTTGGAATCCAATGTATACAAATTAATATAGAACATAATGATAACACGCCCCTACATACTATCACATATCTTGGTCAACTATTATTATTTTTACCATGTTTCAGTTTCTTCCATTTAGAGTGCTCTTCCCAAGACTTGTGCCCACACCAATTTTAGAACTTTACTAAATGTCACCTCCAATCTTGGTAAGGTCTTTAAAATTACACTGCTTAAAATTGAGCTTCCACCCTAAGCACTCTTTATTTCTTTTCCCTGCTTCTACTTTTTCCATGAAACAGTAGAAGATATAACCATCTGACATACTAGGTATTTTACTCTCTTATTTTTTTAGTGTGAGTTGTTTCCCTCCTTATAATAACTCAATAGGAAAATGTGCATATGAAAAAGCAAACAACAGAAGGAAAAAGCTAAATGGCCAATTAAAATATAAAAGAATGTTCAGGCTCACTAGTAATTAGAGAAATGCATGCTAACACAATGAGATATTTTATGTCTGTCAGATTGAAAAAATTAAAAAGTTTGACAGTACCAAATGCTGGTAATGATGTGAACTAATGCTGGATTAGTATGAATGCTACTGTTACTTTGTAGAGCAATTTGCAACATCTAATAATTTTGAAGATGCATGTACTCTATGGTCCAAAAAGTCCACAGAGAAATCTCATACATATGTGCCCAAAGAGTACAGTGTCCATTGCAGCATTATTGGCACAATTTGGAAACCTCCCAAATGTCCATCAATATGGATTATTAAGCCAAAATAGAAAACATGACAAAATGCTATCCAAATGTTAAGATAAAAGAATTCAATGTAATTCTATCAAAGTATTCAAATCTTTAAAACATAATACTGAAAGAAGTAATCAGGCTTCAGATGGATGTATACCTACAGTTGGGACACCATATAAACAAAGTTTTAAAATGGGCAGAACGGTGCTATACATCATTTATGGATCCAAATAAATATTACAAGCAGAAAAACATGCCTGAAAATTTAAGAGAATAGTTATCTTTGTGGAATTGGGGAGGAATGCATGGGACACTTTGCTTATATCTATAGTGTTTTATTTTAAAAAGAAAAGATCTGAAGCAAATAAGGCAGAATGGTAATATCTGACCAGGTTGGGGATCAGTACATAGATTTTGTTCTAATTATGTCTATAGTCAACTTCATGCTTGAAATATTTAATAAGAAAATAAGTAGGACATCATGTAAGTGTGACTATGAGGGAATAAAATTCAAGATAGTGTCTCAAATAATATAGTGTGACAAAGCAAAATTATAAACTGGACTTTGTTTTGAATCAAAGCCTGGGTGCAAGCCCAGATTCTGTGCCTTCTTTTCATAATAATTAATGGGATTAGACTTCGGAACCAGACACTCTGAAGTGTGTCTGGGTTTGAATCTTGGCTCAGAAACTTATTAAGTGTTTAAAATTGGGTATCAGTTTCCCCATCTTGAAAGTGGAAACAGAAGACAAACAAAAAAGAAAATAGAAAAACAATAGAGAAAAGGAACAAAACTGAGAGTTGATTCTTCAAAAAGATCAACAAAATTTACAAACCTTTATCTAGATTGACTAAGAAAAAAAGAGAAGAATGAAATAGCTAAAATCAGAAATGAAAGAGAAGAGATTACTACCAATTTTATAGAAATGAAAAGGATTATAAAGTAGAAAAACAGGACCTCCTCACAACACATATTATGAGGATGAAATGAAATGGTGTTTGTATAGTGCTTAGCATACTTTAGGGCATATAAGGCAAAGAAAGGCTGGTATGTGTTTAGGAGCTTCATGTAAAAAAACATGAACTTGAAGCCTCTTTTGAATTCTGTGCTTTCTCTCATTTTGTTTGTTTATTTGTTTACAATAATACTGTCAGGTTGAAAACTGAATTATAGGGAGGTCAAATAACTTGTCCAAGATTCCCTAACTCTTAAAAGGCAGGGATGGGATTAGAACCAGGTCTACGCCTAGAGAAATGTAACTGTAAATTAACATACTGGTTATATTTCACTAGTTTTATGAGTAGACTAAATTGAATTTCTATAAAGCACTACAATAATCTATCTTGTAACTTTTTTTTTCCTTGAGCGGGGAGTCAACCAGCCATTGCTGATTAAAACTAATAACAAGCATCTACTTAGTTTATGTATATGTAACTCCAAACGTTTAAAATAACTGAGTTGTTGTAATGGGATATTGTTACTAGATAAATATTCCTACCTTAAACAGATTCTTGGTCTTGGAATACATTGGAAGTTCACTAGGCTGTGATATTCCATTATGATGATGATTTTTTTTAACCATAGGCTCTTTTTTTTTCTCAGTTTTACTGTCTTCTCTGAAAAATTACTATCTCTCTGCTTTCCCTCTTCCTTTATCTTCTGTGAATGCAAATAGAATGTAACTTTTTATTGTCACTGATTATTCTGAATGAACAATTTTCTTAATGTAATTTTAGTCAAGTCAGTTCCATTGATTAAGTCTTTTGTTCATTCATTCACTCACTCATTTCTTCCTTTAAGCAGAAAACACTGAGTGACAACTATGCCAGTCTCTGGGCTAGATTCATGAGAAACAAAGGTTAAAAAGGCATAATAACTTCATCTGAGGGGCTCACAACTGAAGAGAGGTAGAGAGGGAAATGGATAACTCCCTTACAGAGTACTACCTTCAGAATGGAGGTATTTCTGGGGAACACAGAGTCCCCAACTAAATAAGAGTGGGGGAAGAAGTGCAGAAATTTTGATATTTTAGCTGATGCTTCTGTTCGTTTATTTTCTGTCTGGAAAAATAATGCATGACCTTTGTAAAAGATTTGGAAAGCATAAATGAGAAAAACAACCTATAATCATACTACAAAGATAACCACTGTTATTCTTTAAGACCACCTTCTACATAGATGAGCTCAATTTTTATCAACAATTTTGCATTATTACACAAAATATATTTCCTATATCTTGAAAATGTTTAAAATTATTTGTATATGTGCACAATATTTTTCTATGTAAAAATACTGGCATTCACTTTATCATTCCTCTATTGGTTTCCCTCTTACAAATAACACTATGATAAATATCTTTGTGCATAAATATGGGGCTGCATTCGTGATAGTTTCCTTAAGAAGGAATTCAGGAGGGGAATTGCAGATTAAAGGGAATGATCACTTTTAAGACTCTTGACATTTTCTCCAGTGCCTGCTTCTTTACTGATTTCAAGGCAAGAGCTCAAGCCCTTAAGAGAGTCAGATGAATTACAAATGTGAAGAATTTCTTTAAAAATTCTTACACTTTTTTGTGCATGAGTAGATATGTATGTGTGTGCACATGCATGTGTCTCATGCACATACACAAATCCTGACTCCCTCCTCAGAGGTATTCTGTGACTACCTCTTGCCTAACACTTACAATGGTCTGCATTTGTTCATTTTTTTGTCAGTAGTATTTTTGTTTTATCCGTCTCTGAATTCTCAGTGCCTGGCATGTAGTAGGAAGTTCGTAAAGGTTTCTACACTGAAAGAGAGAGAGAAAAAAAACCATTAAATGATGAATGTTTACGTTTTTTTAATATAATGTTTTGTTTGTTTTCAGCATTCAGCAAGACATGGTGGTGAACCCTGGCTCCAAGTCTTCATGATTGAAGAACTCTTTTGCATAACACAAAGGTAAATATTTGAGTCTGGCCGGGTCATGCTGGTGAAGGAAATATTTTGTCTTTAGGAAAAATGCTCACAAAATGTCTCAGGGTTCTCCTGAAGTGATGGCTTTTGTGTTTTGTGTTCCTCCGTTAGAGGGTCCATGAAGCCCCTGGAATTGGTGCTTTTCTCTGGTCTACTTTGTGTTTGTGGTTAGAGAGAGAGAATATTGATTCTCTTTCACCTTTTCTTTAAGTATCTAGTAAATGTCATTAGGACCCTTAAGTTTTCCTGACTGGATTTTAGCCTCTTCTAACAGATCATCTCAGATTGGCTTGACTTTAAACAGAACTTTGTTAGCTTTCTTTCTCAAATGCCTCCCATTTCAATATGTTTACCAACAGAAGCAAACCATTCTCAGTTGTGGAAAGCAAAGTCAAACCACATGTAAGATAAATGTTTCTACATAGAAAACAGACTTGGAGATTTACGAGCCTAAGGGGCAGGTACTATGTTTTTAAGGTCTTAAACTTTTAAATGATGGTACCACTGAATTATGTACTTCATACAGGAGCCAGGAAGACACAATTGAAAATGCCTATTCTTTTGACAAATTGTAAGCATTCATCCCAATATCTATTTCTTGTTTACCGAGGATATTGCTGAATGAATCACAGACTGGGGGATGGATGTGCCTTCCAACACTTTTAATTAGCAGCACTGCCTATTAGGATGAACAGAGTGTTGCTTTTCTGCCATAGATTACCCCTGACTGCCCCCCACCCCCGCCGCCAAAATAGAATAGAAATCTTATTCTCCACAAGGTAATATTCATCTCTTTCCCAGCCAGACAAGCATAGAAAATTAAACAATGGTCCATTAAAAAGCCCAGCTAATGTATTTATCATTTCCAGTTTACGTGAGTTTGCAAGGCACATGCGAGTGGGAGCTATCTGTTACAGGACCTTAGGGAACCGCAGACGGGAGAGGGAGCAGGAAGGCTGGAGGATCTGAGACTTGTAAAAATTCATTAAAAATATGAGGAGCTATTGGAGACAGAGGAAATTAATTACTCCGAGGGACTCAACTGTCACTACTCATTTCAGTGACCTGGCGAGGAGGCTGAGAAACCTTTTTCCGAGGGTTTCCGTGGGAGGTAGGGAGCTGGGGTTCCTCAGCTGTCGAGTTTTGCATTTCCTTGGTGGCTTATTGATGTTAAGTGGACTTGCACCCAGCCTCCTTTTAATGAATAGAGTTAAATGAGAAATGGGGGTTGGGGTGGAGGGAAGACTTGTCCCCCGCAACTCACAGGCTGTGTCAGTAACTGCCCGACCTGGGGGAAGCCCATGATTTACCACGATGGAGGGAAGAGATGGATCGTTTGATGCTGGACGGAGTCTGGTCTTTTATTATTGCTTTTCCATCCACAAGGCTATTCTCTGAGGTGGCGTGAATTGGGGAAGACAAATTAAGATTTTCTACCTAAGGAGGACTAGGGAGCAGTAGCTTCTGAAAACAGTCATCTTTTCTAGATTGCCTGTCTAATAAATCTCTCTAATGCATTCTGCCTATAGACAGGGGTTGAAAATATATAGATACCTGATGACTTAAAAGTTTAAAATCAGTGAGCACCCAGAGTAATGGAGTAAAAGGTTTCTCAGATGTGTGCCTTACCTGGACTGGAGAATCCAATATTTTATTCGAAACTCTGCCACTAAGTATCTGTGAGGCCCTACCCAAGTCACCACAGTCATTTCAGCCTCTGTTAGATTATTTATAAAGTGGAAACAACAATATCTATCTTCTGTGATTGTTAAGAAGATCAATGTGCCCAAGGGAACCTTGAAGGATGGAAATACCATCTGGGTATGTGGTATCCTTCTCACCTATTGGTATATTCTGCTTTAAAAGTCTTGGTTTTTAAACACTGAGGCAACTCAGTGGTCTGGGTGGGCTGAGGTTAAGGGCTCCATAGTATTCGACTGGCTTATTTAATTAGGAATAGTGAGTCCACAAGCCAAAGAAGGAAGAACAGATGTTGCTCTAAGGACTTCTTTAGGGAGAGACTATTCACATGGTTTGGAGAAAAAAATTTAATATGAAACATAGTCTTGGAGGAGGCTAGAGCCCTGGATGTGTACCTCCAAGGACAGTGCCAAGGAGCTACCATTCTCCAATTGGAAAAACAAAATCTATGCCTTTGAAGTGGAGACAAACTATGCATTTGGAGGTACATCCCCCGATGAAAGCCCACATCGCTGAAGGTAGTAGAGGCAATGTTTGAAGGCTACTAATCTATTCCTAGAAAGAGAGGATGATGGCACAAACACAGGCAGGGTCAGTGGAGATGTAAATAAAGGACAAGAGAGCTTTGAGAAGCCTTTGCAAGAAGGAAAAAGGTTCCAGGCTTAAGTAGCCAGGCTGGTGTGTGTGTAGAGGAGGGGGCAGTATGGTGAACTCTGTGCTTGAGAGTGTTTCCCAGGTGTTCCTGACGTCGTTAATGGAAACATGCAAAAGTGCAGAATACGGTCCCTCCCCCCAAGGAGCTCAGAGAGGTAAACAATGAATAACTATAGAGAGAGACAGAACTATGCCAGGAAGAGCAATGCTTGCAAGTGTGCTGAGAGACGGTGCTGTTTGAGCTGGACCTCAAACGGCCAGCTGCCTGTGCTGGGCTAGAAGGGGTTCGAGGCAGACATTCCGCAGAAGACCAGCCGCCCAGGGCAGTGCTGGGCCGCAGCGCTGGCCCTGCTGCACTTCTTCAGCAACCAGAGTTCTGTACACCAGCACACATTCAGTAATCATCAAAGGCTTCCATGCTGCTATTGTCTCCTGGAAGTGGCCACGGGGAATGCCTGCCCTCATTAGCCACCCTTGTAGTGGCCCAGGAACCTGTCCTGGAGAGGCTCAGAACACACTCTGAATAGCTGCTAAACCACCATCCCCATTTCTGGTGTTCTTTTGAGCTTTGTCTGGCCACTTACCTGCTTGAAAGTCTTCAGTGGTGTGTGACTGAGCTTGTTGGCTGTTCATTTTATTGTGTTGATTTAGTTTGTCCCTCTCTACATTCGTTTATATTCCTCCATAGCCATCATAGGTGAGACCTCATGCCTCCCCCGTTTGAGTCATAAGAGAGTAATGAGACAGGGAAATTTTTTCTTGCTATTCTTACTCCTTTTTTTTCCACTTGTGCAGTTCATCCCTTTGGTACCTCCTGTGTGCCTCCTTGTCTGTTTCTATTTTCTCAGTTTCCCTCTATTTATCCTTCTACTTTCCCTCTTTCTTCTCATACAACCACACATTCTCCAGCTTGAAAGGAAGTAGGAGATTCTAGATACCAAGGTGCTCAATTGTAAAAACCTGGAGAGGGTTCTTAACCATCTAGTAGTTCCCTTTACCTGATATTTTTAGTGGTGGCGATGGTGGTGTTTTCTAAAGCTGACTGTCTTGGGTTCGAATCTCTGCTCCAACACATAACAGCTGCCTGACATTGAGCAAATCAGTCTCTTTAAACTTCAACTTTTACACGAATACAATTAAGCTAACAATAATACTTTCCACGCAGGATTGTTGTAAGAATTAAACAAGATAATGCATGTAAAGGGGTCTGGCATGTTAGCTACTATTTTTGCTTATAATAATACATACATATTATTATAAATCCTTAAAATGCAAAGGGCAGATGTGTCGATCTTTGGAAACAAGAAAGGGAGAAGCTGAAGAGACTCCTCCCTACTCCATGGCTGGTCTTAGAGAATGGAAAGCCCTAGGGAGAAAGGCACTGATGGCAGCTGAATGCATGGTGCACCAGGAGCCCCCCTGGCTGCAAAGTGACCTGAATGCCAAACGGTCAGGTCTGCTGGGTTTCTAAGTATCTGCTGGGCTTCTAGAAAACGTCTAAGTCAGCCCTTTCCCAGCTACAGTGTTCCTTCTCACATAGTGTAGTAGATTTGTAATATGCCAACTTGGCTATATTAAATTGCATTACCAAGAATTTGGTATCTTGTATATTTCCAGTTAGGTGGGCCGCAGGGAGATTCCTGGGAGATTTGGAGGATAGAAGGGAAGAGGCAGCCATCCTGTAACCCACGTTTTATTGCTGATCTGCTGAACTCACCTCGGGGCATGAAGCAGCACCTGGTGCAGCTGCTCTCCCCTCCCCTCGACCCTCCTTCGCCTGCCCCACCTCCTTGTCCAGCTGTGTGTGTTCAGCTCCATGACAAAAGGCCCTGGCTTCTACAGGTCACCCACATGCGCAAGATGGGAAGCAATGAAAACCAAGGTTCCAGTTAGTTCTCATGGGGTTTCAGCCCTCGCTTGTGGGTCCTAGGCCGCTTCTGATCTCCTGCATTTATGTGCATTTCCCTTCCTAACAGCCTGCCCAGGGGACCTCAAGCTCCAGCATCAGATGTGAAACAAAAGACTTATAGACTCCTCAGCCAGCTCCCACGATTGCAGAATCCCTCTAGTAAATAAAAAAATGCATATATAGTTACTAAATATACATGTATATAAATATGTATATGATTTATTCATTTATTTATTAGAGAAGCAGAACCAACCACTAGATTATATATGTGTGTGTATATACGGATATATTCATGCATGCATATATATACACACACATACAGGCACACATACATGTAATCCAGTGCTTGTTTCCGCTACTCTGGTTGAACCCTAATCCAGATAATCATAAGCTTTTTATAATGGGAAATTCTCGACTTCATAAGGCAGCTCATTTCTTCTCTAGCTCCTCTTCACCAGAGTCTGTTGTGTGATACAGCAAAAATCAAAAAATCCCCCATAATTTTATAATCCAATAATGTTTTTCAGCCCAGAGTATATCCTACTTTCTTCTTCGAATTCTGCCCCTCTCGGGCTGTAAATCATCTCATAACCACTCACAGTTGTGGCCCTCACCCATTCCAGTATATTCTGTCCAGTTTCTCACCTTTTTGAACTTCAGAATTAGGCTCTTCATAAAACTAACCCCATAAATCTAACTGTGCGAGAGAGGCCCTATGGCT